CTCTTTTTCTCTTTGTCTCTCTGGTGAGTGCATGTACCCATAGCAAAAACCGAAAAACAAAAGAAAAACTATTGAGCCAAACCCCATAGCACAGTGGTTGCACACTATGTGGAGGGAACCAGATTTCACAAGGCCTGCTGAGGTTTAAATCCCAGCCTGACGCTTGGAGAAACATGCGGGTCATGCCCATGATTCTGACAGACCGGAGGGATGAAGGAAAGGGGATTGCAGTGTGACCAGGTCCTACTGGGGTAACCTAGTAGCAGGGCTTTAGGGCATATCCTCTAGAGAAGCCATTTCTCTCTCTCTCCTTCCTCTCTCATGCATGCATTTTCTGGAATAAAATATATATATATAAAACTATGTTTGTTATTGTTATAGGGTGTATGCAGAGACAAAGAGAGAGAATGAAAAATCACCCCCCAGGGGGGATGGCCAAGCTGCAATCGCTCTCCTCCATTTCTTCGGAGGATCTTGGGCACATTCACACATGTGCCTAGTGTGATTTGTAAACCACTGGGTCCAGGACTTGAACTGTGCAGCTGGCCGTGAGGGATCTAGTGCCTTAACCTCCACACTGCCTGCTGGCCCCAAGACTATGTATTTCTTTGCTCATTTATATAACTGTGTATAACTTTTAAATATCTACAAAGGATATAATTTCCAATGTATTGTAATATTGTCATTTTAAAAAAGGAAACCGTTATATTATCTAATGTATGGTTTAAATAATGTACTGAGTAGAATTAAATTGTCAAAAATGGCAAAAATCAGTGAAAACATTTCTCCTAAGATCTGGTCAACATTCAAGAAATATAAAACAGGAACTTACCGGGAGCAGTAGATGGCATAATGGTTACTTGGTTGAGCTCCCACGTAGTTGACCATGGTTCAAGTCCTAGATCCAGTGGCTTAAAACACGCCAGGCGCATGTGCATGTGTGCCCAAGATCCCGAGAGGAGAATGGAGGAGAAGGGATTGCAGTATGGCCATCCTCCCTGGGGGGTGATTTCTCGCTTTCTGTCTCTCTGTCTCTCTCTGTCTTTTTGGCAAGCACACATGCTCTATAGCAAAATTCTCTCTGAAAAAAAGAAATGCACTTATCTGATATTGATTCCCTTTACTTGACAATGTAACGTTGGTCTATGAGAGGGAAGTTGTCACATCTTCTTCATAATTATTCAAAATATGCACCTGAGACCCAGACCAAGTGAGTGAGGGAGCTCAGCCGCCTCCTCTAGCAAGAGAAGGTGGAAAGATAGTGTGTCCCCATCACAGAAGGGCTTGCCTGCGTGCTCTCCAGCACTTGAACATGCTCTCTAAGGTGAATAGAGCAGCCACCCATGCAGCCCCGTCAAGATGAAACAAAGTACCACGCCAGCAGTATTTCCCACCCACGACCTCTTTGCTCTCTGCCCAGGACGGATGGTGTCTTCAGCCACACACAGGAAATAGAAGAGGCATGATTCATTAAATAAACGCTATTTAACAGAAGATGGGAGGGGCACAGGCCCACCTTAGGCTTCCATTGTCTTGCTTCAAGGAGGCAACAATTGACTGGTGTGCATGCTGGAAAAAGCAATGTTACGCACTGTAAAGATATGTTTTTAAATTTTATTTGTTGTTGTTATGTATTTTTTTAAAAATTTGAACAGAAAGACAGAGGGAGAGAGAAAGGGAAAGTGAGGAAGCAAGCCGCCTGGTCCAGGACTCGAACCGTGGTCAGCCATCTGGGAATCCAGCACCCTAACCACCATACCACCTGCTGGTTCCTGTAAAGATACATTAAATACATACAAATTTTTAAAAAAAAAATTTAAGAAAGAAGGCAACGTTGATTAAAGCACCAACATTTCAAATTGTTCCTTTATTTGAAAGGACTTTTTTTCCTTTCTAGTACATTAGTTCAAGTCGGATAAAAGGTAAAGCTATTCTTCTACATAGGGAGAAAACCCTGGGCCTCCGCACTGTAGGTTAAAAGAAAAATATGGAAATTGATTCTCTTAAAACTGCTAGTCCCACATACCCTTTGAAAATCTCCAGCTGCCCTTGGGGCAGATGAATGTTCCTCTGGTGGGGAAGGGCTGGCTGTTGTGGGGTGCTGCCAGGAGGGAAGTTTTACAGGTGGGCCTATCAGATCACACCTGTGAGCTACCACTCACTCCATGAAGGAGGTGTGTCCGATTTTCCAAGTGCTAGCAGGGCCTGAGGGCATACCCTCTGGAGAAGGCCTGCTCCCAGCCAGAGCACAATCACAAAGTTGAAAAACCCTTTGTTCTTTCCTTCTCTTCTTTTGCAATGATCTTCCCTCCTCCTACCCAGTGCTGTCCCTGCTGCCTTGGCCTGGATTCTCCAGAAGCAGAGTTAGAGACAAGGGCCTGAGCAAAGAAGTTTATTTGGAAACCTGAGTCTGGCGGTGCAGGAGGACAGGGGAGGAGGAAAAGTCAGTATCGGGAAGCCTTACCCAGTTGGCCTCTGCTAAAGGTGGCTTGCTTTCTCACTTTCTCTCTTTCTGTGTCTTTCTTTCTTTTTCTAGTGAGTGTGCATGTCCTGTAGCAAATTTTTTTTTTAAAAAAAGAATTATTTATTTATTTTCATTGTTATTATTATTTTTTAATTTGACCAGAGACAAAGAGAGAGAAAGGGAAATTAAGAAACCAAGCCGTCATGTCCAGGACTCGAACTGCGGTCAGCCACGTGGGAATCCAGCACCTTTAACCACCACACCACCTGCCAGCCCCTCCTGTAGCAAATTTTTAAATGATAATAATAGATAAAATTAAACCAATAATATTGTTTTCCCAAAGGCATTTGGTACTGGACCTACCCTGAGGCCTCCTGGGGAACTTCATGAATGGTCTCTCCAGACAGAAGGTAGAAGCTGTTATCCATCAACTTCTAGCCCCCTTTGGTCAAGGGTAGCCCAAGGGCACTGACTTCCCACATTCCGGAGATGGAATGCATGAGTGCGGATCTTCCAGGTGTTTCCCTTGACAAAGCAACAGAGGCAGACTGGGGAAAGTGCAGCCCAGGCGAGATGCTGTCAAGTTCTACCTGCACAAGTAAAGTAGACTGGTCCAGCCTGCGTCAGCTTACACACAGGTGCTCCAGGATTCTACATAGATTCTTCATAGAGGGTGTTCTGAGGGAGCCCCAAATCTGAAAGGGCTTGCCCATAATGTTTATTAGTTCCAAAGAACACACCCAGAAGTCAGCGGAGAAACATGAGTTTATCGGGACCAGCAGTTAGCGTAATGGCTTTGTCCCTGAACTCCCATGTAGTCAACCGCAGTTCGAGTCCCGGACCTGATGGCTTAAACTCATGCCGGGCGCGTGTGTGCGTGCCCAAGATCCCAAGAGGAGAATGTAGCAGGAAGGAATTGTGGTGTGGCCATCCCCCCCGGGGGGGGGTGATTTCTTACTTTCTGTCTTTCTGTCTCTCTCTGTCTTTCTGGTGAGCACATGTGCCCTATAGCAAAAACCTCTCAAAAAAGAAAAAGAAAAAAAGAAAGGAAAGAAAGAAAGAAACATGAGTTTATTTACATTGACAAAGAATGCTCCACTGGCCACCACGCAGAGAATGGTCCGAGCAACTACAAGCACAGGCTCAGGATTTACAAAGAACCAAGGTAAGAGCAAAGCCTTCATAAGTCAACTAAAGATCAATGCAGGGGAGTTAGCAGGTAGCATGGTGGTTGAGGCACTGGATTCCCGTAAGTCTGTCTGTTGTTCAACTCCTAGACCTGGCAGCTTGCTTTTTTCACTTTCCCTTTCTCTCTCTCTGGTCAAATTAAATAATAATAATAATAAATAAAATTAAGTAAAATAATTCTTTAAAAAGGTATCAATGCATGGTCAGCAAGTGGCATGGTGGTTAAGGCACTAGAGTCTCACATGGGGGACCATGGTTCAAGAGTCGGGCCCAGAAGTTTGAAATTCATACCAGGTGCATGTGCATGCATGCCCAAAATCCCAGGAGCAGAATGGAGGAGAAGGGATTGAGGCATGGCCATCCCTCTAGAGAGGGATTTCTCACTTTTCCTGTCACTATTGTTGTCTCTCTCTTTCTCTCTTGACACACATACTATGGCAAAAAACTTAAAAAAAAAAAATCAATGTAGACTCCCTCTCACTAAGACAAAGGTCTGGTTTGTGTATACATTGCTTGAAGGTTACAGTAAAATGTTAGCTTATCAATTAAGAGAATCAGCAGAGTATGTTTAGAGGCCAGTGCCCCTAATCTTTTAATGTTAATGTGTGTGTGTGTGGGGGAGGCGCATACCTCTGGAATGTCCTTGCTATAGACCAGTTGCTTGAGATGCAGGTCATGGTCACCAGATGTTCAGGAGACCCAGCCGGACGCACAGGTGGGTCTCAGGCCAAGATAGGACGAAGAAGGAAGGGGAAGGAGAGCTCAATGAATGGAGCCTGCCCTGAGGGGGGCACAGTGTGATGGAGGGCAGACTGATTGGAAATGGGGAGCTCACCTAGGGGCACTCAACCATGGCTAGAAGGCTAGAACATGCTATCCAGTATGGCTGCTGGAAGTCCACCCCGTGAAGACTGTGGGGATGGAGGGGCGGGAGTGCAGTTAAGGGTGATATTGTGAGCTGAGCACTCTCCAAAAACTACCCACTCCCTATAGGGCAGATAGCTTATTCCTTCAGTGGCCTGACAAGGGAGAAGTAACTCTGGGTGCTAAATCAAAACTTGAGACCAGCATGGAGACAATCAGCCCATAAAGCTCATGAACCACTGCCCGGGCAAAGCTAGCAGGCTGCCCTCCTCTGCTGGGGCCCCTTCTCCATTCCCCCCCAACCCCCAGGACTTCCCAGTGCGCTGGGTGTTTCCTGTTAGTTGTGCATGGTGATGAGGGAAAGCTGTGGTGTGATTTGCCCTGACCACACCCGCTAAGAGGAGACTGCTCAAAGGCAGACAAAGCTTCCTCAAACCAAGTCAACACTCTTGCCAGCTACAGCATCACTGAAGTATTTCTGAATGCACAAATCCTCCATCCCGTAATAGGAAGTAAGAAGGGGGAACTCCCCCTCTCCCATACATCCCCGAGAGAAAAACGCAGTGACTTGCCATTATTTTGCAGACAGCGAGCAAAGAGCATTTCAGAAGTGGGTCCTCTTCCTTTGATTTTTAACACAAGAAGAAAAGAAGAACTTCTCTCAGCAAGTAAGTACGCATACCATTATGTGGGTAGGGGATAGCTTGGTAGAACTAGTTACTAACAATACACGTGCTTTTTTTTTTTTTAAGAGGTTTTTGGGCACGGACACTCGCCAGACAGACACAGAGAGAGAGAGACAGAGAGACAGAAAGCGAGAAATCACCCCCCAGGGGGGATGGCCACGCCACAATCCCTTTTCCATTCTCCTCTTGGGATCTTGGGCACGCACGTCCCCGCGCCCAGCGTGTTTTAAGCCACTGGGTCCGGGATGTGAACCACGGTCGACTATATGGGAGTCCAGCGACATAGCCATTACGCTAACTGTGGGTCTCGAACGCACTTGCTTTGTGAACGAACACACCATTACTTCTACCTCTGGGACAGATATTTGTCTTCACAGAGGCTTCTGGGCCCTTATTCCCACAGAGGCCATAGGTTCCCAACGTATCTGGAGAATTGCCAGCAGATTGTGGCTCGTTACTTTAAGTTTCCTAGATGGTAGCAAGCATTATTGTTGCAGGCTGTATTTTTCTAACTGGTAAAATGCTGGTTAATAAGTCTTGCCAAGATAATCCTGGTTAAAATGGACTGGGCTATTAAACCATCGGATGTAGCTAGAACCCCAGCTCTGGGCGGTTCACAAAGAGGAGACCCGAGCACCTTCTGAGTAGCACAGACAGTGTCTGTGGCGGCAGCCCAAGAGGGTAACAGTTCAACAGAGCATTCGTTTTCATTTCTCAATATCGGTATATTTACCGGAAAAAAAAAAAAAAACAGCTTCCTGATATTAGAGAACGTAATATAAATAAGTAATGTTTACAGTGGGTCTTCTTTTCCTCCCTTTTTACTGATAGACTTCTATTGACTGAGACGCTCTAGCCCGGCCACCCCCAACCATTTCGGCGCCGGGAACGAGCTTCATGGTGGGCAGGGGAGGGTATGGCATCCCGCAACCTGGATCCCGCACATGTGCAGTGCACAGCAGGGTCCTTGCTCCTATTTTTTTAAAAGGTTTATTTCATCTTATTTGTTGTTATTATTATTATTAAATTTGACCACAGAGAGAAAGAGAAAGGGAGAGCGAAAGTAAGCCGCCAGGTCCAGGACTCAATCCGTGGTCAGCCATGTGGGAGTCCAGCACCCTCTCCACCATGCCACTTGCTGGCCCTGAGGCTCTGTGCTCCTATGAGAATCTCATGCCACCGCTGATCTAACAGGAGGGGGTGCCCAAGTGGTAATGTGAGCATGGGGAGCAGCATAGGTACAAACGAAGCCCACCCACTGCTCATCGCCTGCTCTGTGGCCTGATTCCTAAAGAGCCTTGGACCAGTGGGTCCGTAGCCTAGAGGTGGGGACCCCTCTGCTCCAGCCTTCCTGACATATTATTTGAGTAGAGGTGCTTAAGGATTGATCCACTTGTTTTGCTCTGTTAATATGTTAGGAAGGAAGTTGCTTCATAACTTAAATTCTACCTTGGACAAAACACACCCTTACAGGTTGTTCCGTGTTTCTTGATATCCAGAGGAGGATCTCAACATCTATGGGCTGGATACCTGATACTGAGGGTCCTGAGACTCTAACAAAAGTCTAACCATACCTATTTTTAACGCGGTAATTTTTTGTCTTTAAGCATTATGCTTGAACTTTTATTTGATAAAGTATTTACGAAACCATCTGGAGACTAGTTTAGTAGACAATACTTTTAAGCAGACATGACTATGCTAAAAAATTTTTTTTTCTCACACCCACCCTCCCACCCACTCTCTACCAACCACACCTACCATTATTTGTGTTTCAGACAGTCTACCATGTCTATTAAGAAGAAAACTCTCTCATAGAAGAGCTGTGGTTGGTTCTCAGAAAATGCACAAGGCATGGTCGTCTCCCCGCAAAGTTCCCCTGAGCTTGCTTTTCTCTCACGGTCACACTCTAGAGGTTGCTCAGGTTATGATTCCCAACTCTTTTTAGGCAGGTGGCTCGGGAGTTTTACAACCCACAGCACAGTAAGAAGATCTTCCTTTTTTTCTTTCTTTCTTTTTTTTTTTTTTTTTTTTGGGGAGGTTTTTCCTTTAGGGGGCTGACCTAGAAAGAGAGAGACAGAGAAACAAAGCGAGAAATCACTCTCCCAGGGGGGATGGCCACACCCCAATCCTTCTCCTTCATTCTCCTCTCAGGATCTTGGGCACACACTCACATGCGCCCAGCGTGAGTTTAAGCCACCGGGTTCGGGACTCAAACCGTGGTCGGCTACATGGGAGTTCAGCGACATAGCCATTACACTAACCGCTGGTCCTAGAAGATCTTCCTTTCTGAGTGACTTCTTTTTTTCTTTTTCAGGTTGTGAAGATAAACCCACACACTTGGGAAACCAAGGACCATCTATCCTCAGTGTATTTTGTAAAATCCACCGGAGAACCCTCTACCCGGGTCAACTGAATTGTCTTTTGCCCCTGCCTGGCACGTACCTGAGAGGTTCCCGGCTCTTCATTGGCTCTAGGTTGTTGGCTTTCATTTTCTTCGTAAACATCTGCAGCCATGGGTCACACACCGAGGCAGGGAACGCTGCTGCCCGAGTGTCCACACCTCAAGCTCTTTGAGCTCTTGGTGCTGATCAGTCTTTTCCAGCTCTGTTCAGGTAAGTGACCTCAGGGACTTCACTGAGTCCACTCCCACGGAGTTAAGAGAAAAAAAAAAAAAAAGAGGTGGTCTCTGTACTGCTCCCTGCTGTCACCCTGTGGGCTGGACAGGACCTTCAGGGTGTTCTTGGTACATTTTAGGAATGGTAAAACTGAGGCCCAAAGAAGTTAAAGAAACTTTTGCCTGTGGTTACACAGCAAGTTAGTGGCAAAGTTAACTAAAGAATGTAGACCACTGGGGCGGGGGTGGGAGAGAGTGCCCAGGAAAAAACGGTTTAACAGATACCAGAGTGTGAGGCTCATTATTGAAAACGATGTATATGGAGACCAGCAGTTAGCATAATGGCTATGTCGCTGGACTCCCATGTAGTTGACTGCAGTTTGCGTCGGACCCAGTGGCTTAAACTCATGCCAGGCTCGTGTGCGTGTGTGCCCAAGATCCCGAGAGGAGAATGGAGGAGAAGGGGTTACGGCGTGGCCATCCCCCCTGGGGAGTGATTTCTCGCTTTCTGTCTCTCTGTGTTTTACTGGTGAACGCATGCGCCCTATAGGAAAGAAAAAAAAAAAAAAACACTCCAAAAAAAAAAAAAAAAGATGTATATGGTGATACCCTTTATTTGCTTATCACATACTGCATGAATGCTGTGAAAAATCACATTGTATGCCATAAAGGTGCACAGCAATTTAACGTAAATAAGAGTTATAAAAATTTAAAAAGCTAGAAAAAAATCCAGACCGTAAAAAGAAGGCTGGGATGGAGTTATTGCAGCAACAAAACCCAAAGTCAGTTCAGGATAGCTTAGAGTTATGGCTTCTTCTGTGATATACATTTCGTGATACGCCCAGGGCGTTTGGCTGAGGGCCGATCCCAAACTAGAGGTTCTATGACGCAAGTTGGCTAAAGATTCTGCCTCTAGAATGGCACGACGCTGGCCTTCTTTCCCACTTGAAGGGGGATGTAGAAGAGAATGGAGTTGAGAAATATCATCTTTCTGTTTTCATTGCCAGAAGTCACTGTGCTCACCAGAGAGAGAGACTGGAAGAAAGCACCCCCCAGGGGCTGATAGGTGGTGTGGTGGTTAAAGCGCTGGACTCCCAGATGGCTGACCACTCACGGTTCGAGTCCCCTCCCCCTCACCCCGTGTCTCTCTGGTCAAATTAAAAAACAATAATGATGAATAAAATTAAGTAAAATAATTTTGTAGTGGCTGGCAGTTGGCATGGTGGTTATAGGCACTGGACTCCCTCCCACATGGCCTACCATGGTTCAAGTCCCAGACCTAGTGGCTTTCTTTCTCACTTTCCCTCTCTCCTTCTCTCTGTCTCTCTCTGGTCAAACTGGAAAATAATAATAAATAAAGTTAAAATAATTCTTTAAGAAAAAAATTAAATACAACACTTTTTAAAGACTTATTTTATTTTTTGAAGAATTAATTTTACAAAATGTATCCATTCATTTATTTTAATTTGACCAAAGAGAGACACAGAGAGACAGAGAGAGGGAAAGTGAGAAAGCAAGCCACCAGGTCCAGGACTCGAACCATGATCGGTCATGTGAGAATATCCAGCACCTTAACCACCATGCTACTTGCTGGCCCTAAGAATTATTTTATTTTAACTTTCTTTCTTTTAATTTGACCAGAGAGGGACAGAGCAAGAATGAGACAGTGAGAGAGAGAAAGAAAGTGAGAAAGCAAGCCTCCAGATCCAGGACTTGAACTGTGGTTGACCATGTGTGAGTACCGCGCCCCCAATCACCACACCACCTACCGGCCCTAAATAAAATAATTCTGAAAGAAAGAAAGCACACCCCACCCCACCCCAACCCTCCCGAATAGGGCATGGTCATGCTACAATCCCTTCTCCTCCATTTCTCCATCCTGTGAGGATTTTGAGCATGTGCACACATATACCCAGGGGGTTTCTCAAGCCAGTGGGTCTGGGACTTGAACTGCATGTTTGGCCATGCGAGATTAAACTCCCTCAACCTAGCCTGTGGACTGGCCCATGACTGTTGTAGTTTTAGATTTTTCTCTTCTGAGTTGGAAACTTTGCAGAACTAAGAACCATGGCTTAAGTTTCACAATTTACACATCAGGTTATATATAGAGAGAGGACGGTTATATTACACTTCTAGGTATAGTACACTTTCTGAATAAGTTTAAACTATTTGAAAGAAAATGTATGCAGGCTTCTGAAAAATGAGGGAAGGGGCAGAAAGGAGACCATAAAAAGGAGAAAGAAAACAAAAGAAAAATTAAAACCCAAGACTTTCACAATTGTCCAGGAAAGTTAGAGTCCGAAATAAATTGAGGGAGATGTCTTTGAGCTGAAGAACAATGTTTCGGAAAGCCCCTTCTTCACAGCTGCATCCAGGTTTTACTGTTCGGGCTACAACTGACCAATTATCTAAGAGCCGCTTCTCTCTGAACACTTACTGTGTGCTAGGTGGGACGTGTAAGTTGTGCCGGGAATTCCTGCCTCAAAGAGGTTTGATGTGTTAACCGGGGAAGACAAAACTGAGCACGTGTCACAGCGAAGAGCTAGGAAGGACTTGGTCGGCTGTAAACACCCAAGATCTGGAACGGGAGAAGCCAGGTTGAGCTGCAGCAGCGGGGGCAGCTTCCTGGAGGTAGATGGGTGATGGAAAGAGAATTCTGGATAAAGGTCCAAAGTAAGGATGTGTCTGGCAGCAGCGTGCATCCTTCTCCTTAATCATTTATTAATGTAACAAACGCTAAGCATCTACTCTATACAGGACAATTTTCTTGGTCTTGGGAACAAATCGTGAGCAGAATAGGCATGGCTCTTACCTTCACGGAATTCATGGTCATTGGGAGGGAGGATTTGAGCAATAATCACTCAAATGAACATGTGACCAGCAAGCAGAGGACAGAGCTTTCAGAGGAGGGGCTGTCTTCCCTGCCAGTAGGGGTAAGGAGTGAGCTGGGATAGGAAGCACTGCGCCTCAGAGTCAGCAAGGACCTGGCGGAACAGGTGGAGACTGAGAGGGAGCAGGGACAGACAGACTCCCGCAGACAGACTCCCACAGGGCCTGCAGGCCATAGTCAGGGATTTGAATGTTCTCTGGGAACACTAAAAAGCCACAGAATGGTTTTAAGCGGGGGAGTGGTGTAATCTATCTCAAATACCATTCACACTTCAATTTTATATACCAATTACCTGGGGCTTTCTTTTTCCCCTTTTAAAAAAATGTATACATTCAATCACTGTATATCATTACAGCTTACAAAATGAATTTTCCCAACATGAATGAACTGTATATTAGTCCAGTTGAAGATGTTATCATTCACATTATCATTAACAGATAATTTTCCATTTTTGTGTCTTTTCAATGTTTTGCTTCTCTTTTCCCCCTTGATTCCCTTCCTCTCTCTCATCCTTCCCCATTTCCATTCTCCTCTCGTGCTGTCTCTAGTATCCTCAGTTGTTCTCCATGCTTCTATATCTTCCAATCTTTCAGTTTCTGCCATAGAGTACAGACATTCGATATGTGTTAAGTTAGGGATATATAATGCCTCTCTTCCAGAGTCTGGCTTGCTTCGCTGAAGCAGTAAGTCTTCCATATTCCCTCAATTTCTTTCAAATGCCAGGGTCTCATTGTTTTTTATGACAGTAGTATTGCATGGTGTATATGTGCCACCCTTTTTCACTCCATTCATATGTTTGTGGACATTTGGGTTGATTCCATGTCTTGGCAATTGTGAATAATGCCACAATAAACGTGGATATGCAAGTACTTTTCTGACTAAGTGTATTCCTATCCTTTGGGAAGATACTCAGCAGTGGGATTGCTGGATCATATGGTAGTTCTATTTGTAGGTCTTTGAGGAATCTCCATATTGTTCTCCACAGTGACTGCATTAATTTACCTTCCCACCAACGGTGAAGGAGAGATCCCTTTTCACCATAGCCTCATCAGCTTTTATCATTTTTTATTTTTTTAATCTTAGTCATTCTGACTAGGGTTAGGTGATATCGCATTGTGGTTTTGATTTGCATCTCCCTTATGATGAGGAAGGTTGAGCATTTTTTTCATATGCTTTTTGGCTGTTCATGACTTCCTTAGAGATTTGTCTGTTCAGGTCATTTGTCCATTTGATTGGGTTAATCATTCGTTTCTGGGTAAGAAACTTGAGTTCCTTGTATACTCTGGTTATCAGTCTCTTATCTGAGGCATAGTTTGCAAATATATTCTCCTATTTTATGGGTTGCTGATTCACTCTAATTAGTTTCTTTTGTTGAGCGGAAGCTTTTTTAACCTGATGAAATCCCACTTGTCTATTTTTAGGATTATCGCCTGTGTTTTAGAGGTCTTACTTAAGAAGTGTTTGCCTACTCCGATGTCTCCGAGAGTTTCCCCAGTGTTACCCACCAGTAATTTTATAGTTTGAGGCCTTAGGTTTAAACCTTTGATCCACTTTGAGGGTTTTGTTAAACTGCAGCTTCTAGCACAGGGGACATTTTTTTAGAGAAGTAAAACTATTTTGCATAACACGGTAATGGTGGGTTAAGTCATACTTTGTCAAAACTCACAGAACGTGCACCAAGAGTGAATGCTAATGTAGACTATGAACTTTGAGTGATAATACAGTGGCGATGTAAATTCAACAAATATACCAGTCTGGTGGGGGATGTCGATGGCAGGGGAGGCTATGAATAGGTGAGATGGAGGTATACGAGAACTCTCTGTACTTTCCACTCAGTTTTGTTATGAACCTCAAACTGCTCTAAAAAAAATTAAATCTCTGTTTATTTAAATGATGTTTCTTCTTAGGTGGGTTTGGGATGTAGCATTTTGCATTTCTTTCTCTTTTTTTTTTTTAAAGAGGTTTTTGCCTTAGGGTGTGTGCACTCACCAGAGAGAGAGAGAGACAGAGACAGTGAAAGGGAAAGTGAGAAATCACCCCTTGATGGGATGGCCATGCCACAATCCTTTCTCCTCCATTCTCTTCCCGGGACCTTGAGTATGTAAGTA